GATTTGATAATAACGTTACAATTTTTTATAATGGTAATTAAGACTAAAGTTGGGAAAGTCATTTTTGAAAAGTAATTTGTTATCATTACGTGTTATTTATTAAAAAATATGTAACTCGTTATTTTATTAATAAAAAGTAATGCGTTACTAATACTAATTCATTACTCGTCATGTATTACGATTAATGTAACGAGTTATTTTTTCAATAAATAACGAGTTATTTTTCAAAAATGGCTTTCTTAATCCTGACAATACAATTACCGTCATAAAAAATTGCAACGTTATTACTAAATCATTATTACAAAAGTAACAGTAATGCAAACTAACGCGTTTCCAACCCTTACTTTGGACATATAAGTTTTCATTTTTTAATTTAACATTTTTCATTCATACAATTTCTTTTTGTATCATAATAATATATTTTTTTTTATATCAAAATACAATACATACACTCCGTATAAGTTATAATTTAAAAAATAAAATTACAAATATATAATAGTTTAGTTAAGTCTTTATAAGGTTACTTCGCATTTATCGAATATCATTGTAATTATTATACATCCTATCTAAGATTTTACAATTTCTTTTATAAAAATGAAGTAATATTTTTTAAATTAATTTAAATTAATTTAAATTCAAATTTTATTCGATAAAAGCGAACCAATCTTATAGAAGCCCTCCATCACCCCCACCAATTCCGATCGGCGGTCCTCTTTTTACGATACATTGGCTGCATTCAGCAGAAAAAGCAGCATTGCAACTGTTATAAAATTTTTCAATATGATTGGTTTATACATTTAGGTCCATAAAGAATCAAAAGTAAGAACCAATCGTATTGAAGAATTGCACAACAGTTGCAAAGTTTTCTTTACTGAAAGCAATCATTGTTTCACATTTTTATTATTTACATTATTTTACATACAATTTATTTAATATGAAAATACAATGTATAATAATGACAATTAATAAAATATATTTTAAACTAGAAAAACTATAACATAAAATTACAATATAGTATATAATAGTTCAATCAAATCATTTTATAAGGCTATTCTGCTTTTATCGAATATTATTGTGATTATTATGCATTCTATCTAAACTATATTTTTTAATTTCCTTTATAAATAAAGTAATATCTTAAGATTAAAATTTCATTTGATAAAAGCGGATTAACCTTGTAGAAGCCCTCCACCACTCCCGCCGATTCCGATTCAGCGGTCCTCTTTTCTTTAGATCTGAAACACAATAAGTGCAGTAACCCTCTTATAAAAATTTCCGAATCATAATCGAATATTCTTCTCACAATCGACTATAATTGATCAGTTTCTTAAGACTTATTGCATCTATTGTGTTTCAGGATTTACATATCATACTGCTGTAAAATGAAGTTTGAAAAATCGGGATAACTTTGACGCAAATTTTGACAATGCCCAAACAACGCGCATGTCAAAATCTAAATATAAAAAATTTTAAAAACAATTTTGGATATGCGTGCTTTCTCAGGCATTTTTCAAAATTCGAATAAATGAAATATTTCGACTAGACTAAAATTATTTCATTTTATGATTTTTTCACATTTTTGTTTTTGTATTTATATTATATATTCTATATATAATTTCTTTTACATTACATATAACACAATATAAAAGAATTACATTATAACATTGATATAGCATAATAAGCAACAAGAATACAGGTAAAATATCTTTGTAATGTGAAATTGAATACAAAATGTTCGGAATGCGTATAATAAAACAATTTTATTACGATGCAATGTGAAATATGTGGGTATGATCGACAAATGACTATTACGTAATGTTTCTTATTAATCGAATAGCAATTACAAAGCATATTTTGCTTTATTTAATTTATATAAGCAATCAAAACCAAAAAGATTGTTAATAAATTTATTATATATATCTTTCAAGTAAAAAAGATGTCAGTTATTGATTATATTTTACCGAAATTGTATTTTCACAAGATTCAAACAAAATGCACTAAAAAATAAGCAAAGCTTTAGTGTACAACAATGATCAAATAAAAAAATATGCAAATAATCTCATCAATTCTAGTACACAATTCTAATACATAATTTTTATTCCCGTTTCAAAGCGAGTCTTGTATAATTATATTATTATTTTTCTACGCGATAATATATCAAAAATTTTGCAATATCGCATCTATTTTAGTAATATAATCAAATACTAATCAGATAATATATTTAATCGCGTGTATAAATTCTAATTCCCGTTTTACTTTATCAAAAAACGCGTACAATAAAGGCAACAATTCGATCAAATCAAGTCCCTCCACCGAATGACATTTTGAATAGTACGACATAGAGAAGAATGATCTATACATGCTAGAGAATGAGTTATACTCTATTTCAAGTTCCATGGGATTAATCCATAAAGGAAAGTTAAGTGATTCGTTGAGTATTAAGAATTCTACTGCAGAAGGAAACAAATCCTAGATTTTCGGACTGCTTTCGATACCAAGTATTTCGCGATAGCAAGTTAACAACTGTCACCTTTTACCTCACCTCTTTGCATAATGCAAGTATAATGCAATTTCCAAATATTTTGATGATAATTTAATCGATATTCATCAGTTTTTTGGTATATGAGAGCAAGATTCGCGTCCGAGAAAATATATTCTTCCATTATTAAATACATCTTTTTATTATCAAAAAACACATGGATAGAACGATATCAAAAAGTGGTTACAAATGATTATATTTTGAAATAATAAAATACATACATTTTTATTATAATTTATTAAATATGTGAGTACAAAAATTCTCAGGTACCGACTGTTCGAGGCGAATCAAACCGATAACAATAAGATATCATAATTTCATAATCAAATATTTAGTGGAATAAAATTCATATCATTTTTTATTTTTCTATAACATTTTAGCAAATGTAGTCAAATAAAGGCTTAGCTAAATGTAATATTTAGATAAATAAAAATTATCAAAATCTTACTGATATCGGGGTACCCAATCGATTCGTCTCGAATTTATTAAGTACCCACACATTTTCAGTTATGTTCATTGTATCATTATAATAATTTATTGAAATAAGTACCTTTTTGAAAAAATTTATCAGAATAAGAATTAAAAATTCCTTACATAATATATACACTACGTTTGTATTTTATTATATAAAGCAACCTAAAATATTAAAAAATTAAGATTCTGGAATATGTAAAAATTAATTAACATTCTGGAATAGTGGGATGTCCAGTTCCTGAAAATAATTTTTAAAAAAATTAAAGATTAAAATAAAAAATATATTCATTTATAACCATATTTTTTTCTCAAAGAAGTCACAAGAAATGATCAAACTTGTTTAGTTTATTTAATGTAATTCATTCTTTTCTATAATTGCTATTCATGTTCAATCCGCTAAGTCTTTTTATTGTCAAACTAACATTAATATTAATTAATGGAAGAATATTTAAAGAAAAGAATAAACTCTTCTCTTAGGACAAATTATTTAATTAATTTCACAATTCAATTTAAAAAACATTAATTAAACTACATTGTTACTGTTGTTAACTTGTCGAAATCAGCTCCCGGAGATTTAAAAAAAAAACCAAGATTAATTTCAGCCCAACGAAAATCTTCAAATTCATCGAGGCACTGAACTAGACATTTCGGATGGATCCCATAGAAAATGACGAAAAATGTCTTTCCATTTGAAAATCACTACGATTTGTCGGTACAAATTTACTAATATCACTTGACACAAAGGATAGCAACGAAGCTTCACTGTCGAAAAAGCGATCGTATCTATAAATGTGAAAATAACGCGATATTTTCATAATTTTTAAATGATTTAACATATTTAATACAGATTTAATACGAAATATAATTTAAGAATTCGTTTAATAAATATTTAATATACTTTTTGAATACGTTTCATTGTAAGAGTCAGATCAAATATGAAAAAATTTCACGGATAAATATTGTATATACATATCATAGTCTTAACATCTGCAATTATGTATTATAATAGACATACTACAAAAATTATAACCGTTACGAAATTTTGAATAAAGTATGTACCGAATTTATTAACGATCTTTTGGTATACCTAATAACATTTTCAAAGATTTCTCAAAATGAATGTTTATCAAATATGCATTGATCTCCGTCTTATTGAACGCATCCGATTACAATAGTCAACATTATTTACAGTTATTATCACATAAATGTCATAAATTACAATTACAATACATAGTACAATAATATGTACAATAATATACACATAATATAATATTATTACATGAATTACAAATATAATACATAATGTAGTATTTATAATATGCTATATATCTTTAAACATTCATTAAAAATTAATAACATGATTTTTAATTGATATTAATTGATATTAAATATAACAACAATAAATACAGTATTATCTCTGTTATTATTACATTTAAATAATATAAAATTATTCAATATTTAATATAATAATTACTATATAATAATAATAAATATATCCTCATATTTATTACTATTATATTTAAATTATTATTTCGCTAATACATATACATACAATTTTTCAATCCTATAAAATTATAATCTCCATCTGTTCCTAGTTCCTACCTAACCAAATTCCTACCCGTATCCCTACCTACCCGTATTCCAATTTACATGCCTATTTGTCCACATTTTCTTCTATCCATTTTCTTATATATCATATATTTTAACTTAATAAAGAAAATCTTTAATTAAAACCGCAACGCGATATGCGACTTATTAATTCTCTGTTGGTTATCCAGCAGGATACTTGAAACCCACCCGAGCGAGATATTTGAGAAGAATTACAGTTTCAATACGTGCTCGATTAGAATTTAAATAAGTTATTTCCAATCTCACACATATAACAAAACAAGGGAAAAATATACATGAGAAAATAGAAAAATTAAGCAAATAAATAAATTATTTTGTACATTACCTTATACATCAGTGATCAATATTGACCACTTACCTTATTCCTTGTACCATATTGCTTCTTCTTTCTTCGGGCCAAATTGAACTTATCTTATCTTGACTTTGGCCATATGATATGATTGCATTTTGACCAAAAATCAATAAGAAAAAATCCTTCTTTAGTCGATTATTTCCTTCGATTATTATTTCATTGTTCACTCAATATTACGTTCGATTCGAATTAAATATGTAAGTCGATGGTATCGAAAAATGTAAGACAGAGAAATTAATTAAAAAAAAATTAATGCATAAAAGTTGCACAAAAATTCTCTGTGGCATTATTTAAATTTGGAATTATATTTAAGTTTAGAAAAAATTCAATATATATATGTGTGTGTGTGTGTGTGTGTGTGTGTATGTGTGTGTATGTGTACACATCATAAATTTCAATGTTTTTGTGTACCATATATGTCTATTACTAGTATGTTACACAAAAATATTGAATAATAAAGCTAATAAAATTCTAAGTAATAAAAAATCAATATATATAATAGTAAAATATTAAATATATTTTTCAACGCAAAATTGACACGATATAAAAATGCATGCTCATATCATATGCATTTTCAAAGTACATCAAACAAAATACATAAAATAAATAACATGAGATCCCAAAGAAATAAATGTTTCGCGCTTTACTATAATATAATAACTACATATAATTATATGTATATTAATTATATTATAATAATTATCACTGCACAAATAAATATAAGTATCTACAAATCCATGTGTAGATATGAATATATGATAGTACATCTTATTTGATATCAATATTACTTTTTCACACGATATAGTATATTACCTTCAAAATATATATATTACATTGTAAAGTTATACAAAAAATAGAAAATATTTAATTTAATTTAACTTAATTTAATTTAATTTATTGCAAAGCACTATGAAAAAACTACTACTGTAAAGTAATAACAAAGTAATAGACATAATATATACAATACACTATAGTAGACCTAAAAAAAATAAAATAAAATAAAATACAATACAATAGTCAATAAATAGTAGCAAATGATTACGCGTCAGCAAAATTGCTGTTACAAAGCTGTTACTAGCAACAAAACCGGAAGTAAGACAACAATGTAATGAGAGGAGAAAATTTTAAAATTAAGAAAGAAAAAGAAAATCATTCAAATATTCCACCTATTAGAATATTTAGAATATAACGACGTGCTGGTACATAAATAAAGAGAAATATTCACAATCACCCACAAACTTCATGTGTCCAAATTCATTTACTATTATTTACAATGTGTGCGTGGTAACATGTATATGTGCGGTAACAGCTTATAAAGCTATAAAAGTATAAATAATTCAACTGTGAGGAAAAATTAATGAAATAATTAATTGATTATGGAGAAGGAACATAAAAAAAAATTATGACGAAACAAAGAAATGGCAATATAAAAACAAAATGTAGGCAAAAAAATTTAAATAGTATAAAGGATAATTGCAGTACAGGAATTATAATTTTTTAAAATTATGATTGTCTGAGTAACCTATGAAGAAAACAAATTAAATAAGTGAAAAACAAAAAATCTTGGAAAGATATACATGAAAAAAATTTAACAAAAATATTTTCATAGTGGGACCTTTATTTATCGCATTGCAGAAAAAATTCCTATTACAAACACAAAGTTTAAACCAGAGCTTCATGTCTCAAATCCAGTTACCGGATAGTAATGATTTCGACATATATTAATGACGGCGACTATAAACATTTTCAAACACACAAAATTAATTGTAAAAAATTGGTTACCATACCGATATAAAATATCATACGATACTATAATTCTGCATTAAATTTCTAATATCACATTTTAACACATAAAAATCTTATGAATTTGTAGCGAATCATTTTGTCTTTGTTGCAGTTCTTTCGTGGCAAGTGCAAAACAAAAGTGCGGATTGAAAAAATGAAGTAGCAATTTAATATGGTCTATCTGACGGACGCGGAACCGACAGTGAGATCATTGTGAATACGGCTGGCTTCTCGTGTCACGTTTAACGCGCGTCTAACGTCGACGAGGAAAAATTAAATGATAGCGAATAATTATAGAGAATTATTGAAAAGAAACAAATTAAAATAATTGAAACGAAGGAAATGTTAAGGAGGAAAACTATAAACATAACGTCCAAAGGAGAAATTAAGAAGAGTTCTTCGAAAATGTTAAAAATGCTTGCTCATTAGTATTAAATATTTGCTCCCATATCATTTTTCCCTCTATTCTACAAATCGTTAATAATGTGCTTTGATTTCTCTATTGCAACTTTCCTCTCTAATTTCGTTAACGTAGTACGTTTCTCGTTCCACGTATCTTGATTTCTTTTCTCAAAAAACCTCTTTAACGTCTCGGAAATCACTTTGTATCTCGGCTGTAGCTTCTTCATGGTACATGCTAGAGACAGTGCGAATTGTGCGAAGAGATAATTTACTACGACCGACGCGATGGATACGGGACCGACAGTGAGATCATTGCGAATACGGCTGGCTTCTCGTGTCACGTTTAACGCGCGTCTAACGTCGACGAGGCCTTCATAGCCACAATACTTTGCGATCCACAGTAGTCTGTGTCACAACAAGTGTACAAACGCTTGGCTGATAGACGCGACGTGAGGCAATCCACTTTCTGGGGCGATATTGCCCACATCCCTCGTGCATTAATTGTGGTTAATTCGGCTTATCGGCTTGTTAGACGCTAGTCGTACGAGACAAGCTCGACGGACCGGTAAATGTGACGAGAATTGAGCACGTATTGCAACGATCTCACACATCAGACCGTATGCAAGCAAATTTCCATTTAAATCCGAAAAGAATCCCCGAAAAAACGCAATGTCCCTTGCA